GGGGGGGGGGGGGGGGTGGGGTGGGGAAGAGCATGTCCCATCCCCAGGCCTGGAGGATTCTGCGAAGATCCAGTGTCAGAGGCTAAGGAGAGCCTGGGCCTTCCTCATCCGCTGTCATAGATCTTCCTCGGGACACGCTGAGGGGAAGGACCAAATGATTTCTGCCCTCGAACACAATTTTGGAGGCCTTTGAAATTCTGGGCGCTTCCTCTGGGAGCTGGTGGCCCATATCTGTAATCCTAGCTGCTAAGGAGGCTGAGATCTGAGGATTGTTCTTGGAAGCCAGCAGAAAGCAAGAAGTGGAGCTGCAGCTCAAAAGATAAAGCTCAAACGCTGAGAGAAAAAGCCAAGCAAGTGTAAGAGACCCTTTGTACTGGGAGGTGGGGGGGGACGAGAGGGAAAGGAAGGAGGAAGAAAGGGAAGGAAGGAAGGAAGGAGCCCCAGAGAAACACAAAAAACCCCCCAGCAGATCTACTTGAATTAGGTTCTTAAGTTCCCGAGACTGAGTGTAGAGACCGAGGCACCCTGGGAATGGCCAATCTGGGGCTGTCCTGGAAGAAAGGCCCTTTAACCAGTGGGGCTGCAGGAGGGATGGGAGTGGGGCTACTCTGAGGAGTAAATTAAGAACTCCAGACAGCTACAGTTCCTCTGTGGTGACTCAGGCCTTTCTTGTGGTCAGCCCCATGGAGCCTGCGGCCTTGGGGACACTGGTCAGATGACCATGGGAGTGGAGAGGGGAAGGTAGGCTCTACCTCGCTTTGGAGGACATCTGTCTTCAATCAGTGCAGAGCAAGAGCGCCCGTCGTTGCTGAAGGCCAGGGGAGCTCAGGTTTCTTGGGAGGCTGCAGCTGTGGAGGGAGGCTGGGCGCCTGTCTCCGGGTCATCATGCATGCAGGGGCTGTTGGAAAAGATCTGGAGCCTGGCTTGGTTCATGTTCTACCCTCACTTCAAAACCAGAAGGCTAGTGGGGGGTTGTGGCTCATGCCTGTAATCCTAGGTACACAGGATGCTGAGATCTGAGGTTCATGGTTTGAAGCCAGCCTGGGTAGGAAAGTCTGTGAGACTCTTATCTCCAATGAACCACCTGAAAGCCAGCTCGAGTGGTAGAGTGCTAGCCTTGAGCACAAAGTTCAGGGACAGCACCTGGGACTTGAGAGTTCAAGCTCTAGAACTGGCACCAAAAAGGAGAGAGACAGACAGACACTGACAGGAGCTGGGGAAAGGGGTGTGGCCTGGGCAAGGCTCCCTCCCGTTACTTATGAGGCCTTTGCATCATGGTTCTATTGATCAGCTTGCACTTCCGCTTTTCAGCGTGCTTTTGACTCCTCAGAGTCTTGCTGCATAAGGAAAAGTATCAGCCGGGCACCAGTGGCTCACACCTGTAATCCTAGCTACGCAGGAGGCTGAGATCCGAGGATCATGGTTCAAAGCCAGCCCAGGTAGGAAAGTCCATGAGACTCTTATCTCCAGTAAACCACCAGAAAACCCGAAGTGGTGCTGTGGCTCAAGTGGTAGAGCACTAGCCTTGGGCTGAAGAGCTGAGGGACAGGGCCTAGGCCCAGAGTTCAAGCCCTACAACCGACAAAAAGAAGAAGAAAGCTTAGAATGGCTGTCTGTTGTCACCATCATTATTTTATTATTTATCTTTGGGCTTTGAACGAGGGGACTTACATCTGCTAGGGTGGTGCTCTACCACTTGAGCAAGCCATGCCTCCAGTTCTGCTTTCCACTGGTTATTTTTGACCTAGACCTCGCTTCCTATCCAGTGTCTGAGATGTGAGCCACTTTCTTTAGGCTTCCGGGGTGCACTGCCGTGTCCAGCCTTCTTCTGTGGATATGAAGTCTCTCAGACTCTCTTCTGTGTGGGCCGGCCTGGAACCTTGATCTCATTCATTCTCAGCCTCCCAAGTGCTAGGATTATAGGAGTGAGTGACCAGGGTTGGACTCAGGATGGTTTATTTATTTTGTGTGGGTCTTGGGGCTTGAACTCCAGGTCTGAGCGCTATCTCTGAGCTTTTTTTGCTCAAGGATGGCAGTCTACCACTTGAACTTCTTGCTTTTTAACAGTTCATTGGAGATTAGAGAGTCTTGTGTACTTTCCTGGCTTTCAACTGTGATCCTCAGCTCTCAGCCTCCTGAGTAGGATGACAGGTGGGAGGCAGGGGTGCCAGCCAGGATTTTTTTTTTTTTTTTGCGGGTCCTGGAGCTTGGACTCAGGGCCTGGGCACTGTCCTTGAGTCCCTCTGTACTCAAGGCAAGCGCCGTACCACTTGAGCCACGGTGTCACTTCCAGCCTTTTCTGTTTATGTGGTATTGAGGAATTGGACCCAGGGCCTCATGGATGCGAGGCAAGCACTCTACCACTAAGCCACCTTTCCAACCCCTCTAGGATGGGTTTTTAAGTCACATTTTTCCCAATTGCTGCTGAGTTGCTTGGAAACACCCAGGGCCTTTGTGGGGGAAATCAAGGACTTCCTTAGAGACCCGGACAGTGGTGTGTGTCACAGAGGTGGTCCCCAGGGAGAGACTGGCTGGGTGGAGAGGGCACTGTCCCCCTTCCCTACCTGGTGGAGTGGTGGACATCAAGTGCAGAATTCCAGGGTCTTTCCCGCACTCACATTCCCCCAGCCCCAGCCTCCCTGATTGCAAGAGGTTGGGAGGAGGAAATGAAGAGCAGCAAAGAGCAGCGGCCCTGGCTGTGGCCCCTGCTCTGTCATCAGCTTGCTGGCCTACCTCCAGCCCGTCCCGTCTCACCTGTAAACAGCGGCTGGGGGAGCAGGCCAAAACCATCAGGCCAAAGCCATTGTCATCATGCAATCTTGGGAAGCCACCATGGCTGTGGACTTGAGTCCTGCTGTCCCTCCCCTCCCCGCCTCTTCTCCAGTAGCTAAGATGACAGGTGTAAGTAAGCCCCTGGCACCCTCTCTCTTCTCCATTCTTCTGAGTTCCGGAACATTCTAGTCAGTTTGCATTTCCCAGGTCCAGCGGATTATGTGTGGTGTTGGCCCCTACCCAACTGTGCTCATGACTCCCCGATGCCTCTGCGGCTTTCTGTGTGTCCATCCTTCCTTGTGGGTTCTTGTCCTCACTTCTCAGCCTCCCGAATATCCAAACTGCCTTGACGGAGCAAGCTTGCAGCTCTGGCTTGTCTGGAAATGGGGTGAGGGGTGACCAGGTATTTAGAACAGCCAGTCGTATGACCTTGAGGTCACCTTGCGGGGATCCGGGCCTGGCACACAGCCCATCTCTGACCTGCAGGGTGGGTTGGATGAGTGGCAGTGGCTGAGGATATACTGGGGGGTGGGGGTGGGGAGTCCTGGACCTGGAGGCGGGGCTGGGTCAGGGCCTCACACAGCCTGGGGAGCACCAGGTTGGTGGGAGAAGGTGCCTAGGGGGACCCCTGAGGAACTGCACCACACTAGGCTGGGGTGCCCAGGGCGCTCTCTGGTGGCAGGGAGGGGACCTGCAGGGAGACTTGCCCTGAGGCTGAGAGCCCAGGTCAAAGGTTAGCATGACCCAGACTGCATTGGGAGACTGGATTGTCTTGGGGAGGAGGAAGAGGGAGGGAGGGAGGGAGGGAGGGAGAAGAAAGAGTCTAGGGCAATTTGCTTTCTGGGTTTTGGCTCAGGGAGCAGGGACGGGGCTGGAGGAGCCGGTTCGGGTGGGTGGCAGTGTTGGCAGGGCACCGTGGTGTGTCTTGTGGTGTCTGGGATGATGGATATTGGGTGACAGTGTGGGGAGTGTGGGATGAGGAATGGGGGTGTCACATGGGCTTTGGCTGGGGGCCCAGGGAGGCTGGGGCCCAGGCGAAGCTGGGGGGAGCCCTGGGTCTGGAGGAGTCCAGGCTGAGCCCCAAGGGCAGAGGGCTGGGGTCTCTGGGCTCAGGAAGGGTAGGGATGGAGCTGAGGCTGAGGCGCTATGGCAGGTGGCCTCAGAACTAGGTGGTAGATGACACTCAGGAGCGGTGGTGGCCTTGGGGACACCCTGAGGTCTCTCTCAAGACAGGATTTCCTGATTTTCCCCAGGGACCCCAATGAAAGCCTCAGTGTTCAGTCCCAGAGTCCCCTGTCCTCATACTCCCGTGGGAGTGGCAGGAACGGGGGGGGGGGCCGCAATGGGGTGGCTGTTTTCCCAGGGGAGTGGAGCCCCCTCCGGGAAGGGGGTAGGTACGGAAGCAGGTGTCCCCCAGGCCTCTGCTGGGGTGAGCCAGGCCCTGACTCCATCCAGGTGGTCTCGCATCACCCTCCTACCCTATTTGTCTTCTGAGGAAGTGTTCACGGTCCGGGAAGCCAGCCACAGCCCACGGAGACCATGGAGGTCTGGAGACTCCAGGCCCAGGGAAATGACCACAGTTCCTGGTGCTTTTCCTTATTAAAACCCCTGGCCTGATGTGATGTTCAGAGATGGCCTAGAACCCTTGCTTCTCAGAGGACAGGAGCCCGTGCAGGAGCGAATCGCCTCTCTCCACTTTCCTTCCCCACCTCCCCCTCTTTCTCTCTTGTGTGTGTTGCTGCCAGGGCTTGAACTCAGGGCCTGGGTGCCATTCCTGAGTGTTTGTACTCAAGGCTAGCGCTCTACCCCTTGAGCCACTGTGGAGCCACAGCTCCATTTCAGGCGTGTGTGGTGGTGGTTCATTGGAAATAAGTCTCATGCAGGCTGGGAAGGTGGCTCAGTGGTAGAGCACTTGCCTCGCATGCATGAGGCCCTGGGTTCGATTCCTCAGCACCATATGAGCAGAAAAGGCTGAAAATGGCTCTGTGGCTCAAGTAGTAGAGCGCTAGCCTTGAGCTGAAGAGCTGAGGGACAGCGCCCAGGCCAAGTTCAAACCCCCAACTAACAAAAAAAAAAGTCTCATGCACTTTCCTGCCAGAGCTGGCTTCAAACCCTGATCCTCAGATCTCAGCCTCCTGAGTGGCCAGGAGGACAGGCGTGAGCCGCTGCGGCTGGCTGGCAGTGGGCCTGAGCAGGGTGGAGGTGACCGGTGTCCCCGCCCCCCACAGGCACTGGTGCCATCACACGGTGACCCGGACGGTGTCCTGTCAGGTGCAGAATGGCTCGGAGACGGTGGTCCAGCGCGTGTACCAGAGTTGCCGGTGGCCAGGGCCCTGCGCTAACCTCGTGAGGTAAGGACCCCGGCCTGCGGGGCCGCCTCACCCGCGGCCTTGCAGGTGGGAGGTGTGCGTGCATTTGTGGGGCTCTGGCTGCGCATGCAGAGGAGGGTGCATGCATCGCGTGGGCCTGCCTGTGAAGGGACTCAGTCCCAATAACAACAGGCCGAACTTCGCAGATCAGTATCACTCCCCACACCCCTACCATCGCCATTTCTCCTGTCAGCAGACTTCCCCCGCTGGTGTCCTTCCTTGGCTAGACTTTGCCTTCTGAGCCTCAGTTTCCCCAGCTGTAAAATGGAGGCCAATCATTACTGCTCCACCAAGGTTGCTGGTGGGGGAAGTCCTGCAGGAGTCTAGCTGAGCTGACAGAATCAGAAGTGGACTCCAGACACAACATGGCCCTAGGACGTGTGGGGTGCTCTGCTCTTGAATTTCTCGCGCTGAGGTTCCAGGGTGACCGGCCCTCACTGGACCCCCTCCCCCACTCCAGAGTTGACTTGCTCAGTTTTGTTTTTTAATTGCAGTTCAGCAAGCCTGGCCACATCGTCATGGCTGGGGTTTTTGTTCTCTTGTCTAATTTCTCCTCACTCCTTGCTGAAGCTGTGTGGGGCCTGAGTGGGGGGCTCTCTCTTTTCTTTGAAGCAAGTTGGTGCTTTGATTTGTGTTTGTTTATGACTTTGGTGGGGAAAAGGAGTTGGAAACTGAGCCTGGAGGCAGAGGCGGGAACAGTTATAAACTTCCTCTCCTGGTCTACCTCCGCTCTCCCCAGTGGAGCAGTGTTTTTGTTTTAGGGCCTGTGTCTGCCCCAGCTCTCTTGACTGGACAACATAAGAGGAGGAGGACAGGGGGTTCAGCATGGTGCTGCACTCCTGTAATCCCAGCATTCACGAGGCTGAGGCATGAGGATCGTGAATCCGAGGCCAGCCTGGGCTAATGTGGATTCTGCCTCTGTCCAGCTGGGTGCTGATGACTCCCAGCTATGCAGGAGGCTGAGATGTGAGCGTAGTGGTTTGGAGTCAGCCTCAGCAGAGGTAGACAGGCAGGTGACACAGATTGGCTGACCTCCTGACATCCACCCCCACCCCAGCCAGGAGGCAGGTGGGCTCAGGGTCTCCTTCATGCCCGTCACGACCCAGAACTCAGGTGCACTGAGCTCAAGCGTGCACACGGAATGAACGCTGGTGAAATGGTGAAATGATGTGCGTGCACGTGTACAACCGTTTCCCGTGTGCATCTTCTCATTTGGCAGTTGTGGTTTTCATTTGTCTTGAGACAGCATCTCCTGATATAGTCCAGGCCCAGCCTCAGATTCCTGATCTCCCTGCTTCAGCCTCACTGCTGGGATTACAGGCCCTACCTCCGCCCCTGGCTGGGTGCTTTGTATTTCTTCAGTGTGTATATATTGCAGGTAGGGGGCTAGGGTGACAACCCCCAGTGATTGTCAGGAACACAAAGCCAGACTCAAGAATGTGAAGCAACACGGGCCTCTCCTTACTCGTGTGTGTGTGTGTGTGTGTGTGTGTGTGTGTGTGTGTGTATACACGCGCAAAAGTGTGCGCATCCTGGTAACCAAAGATACAAGCAGTTGTGGGGGGGGCAGAGTCCTGGGGCGCCCCTGGGGAGCGACATTTGAGTCCATGTTTGTGGATTAGAGGCTTTTGGTTGGGGAGGGGTGGGGGCGGAGGGCGGAACTGACTGCCGGCCCTGGAGGGGGCTGGGGGCGGGGCAGAACTCCAGCCTGCCCCTCTCTACAGCTGGGAGAGGAAGGAGAGAATTGGGGCCAACCCCTTCCCCCCAACACAGAGAGGGCCAGGTGGGCCTGGCCTGGCTTTCTGTGCCTCAGTTTCCCCTTCTGGGACAGGAATATGACCCTTCCCTTTCTTGCCATGGAGGGGAAGCCCCCCCCCCCCACTGCACATGCCATGTTCCTTGTAAGGTGGGGTGGCATGGGCTCTGCCATGGAGCGGGGAGGGAGGGCTGGCTCCGTGGCTGGCAGGGGGGCCAGGCCCGCAGGGGTTAAGTTTCCCCGGGCCAGCCCCCCCTCTCCTCCAAGGACTTTGATGGTATTAAGAGCCAACCATTTCCAGATGTGCTGAGCAGAGGGGTTTCAGCTGCTTCCCCCTTCCGCCCCTGACAGATGGGGGGCCCCCTGCCAGCCGCGCCCCACCCCCGTCGGCCAGGACGCCGGCCGGAGAGGCTGCGTGAAATCCTGGATTTAAATACTTTCTTAAGAGAAGGCCTTTCCTTCCTGCCCCCCTCCCGCCCCCCAGCAGGGCCAGCCTGTCCCCCTCATCCGCCCAGTGGCCTGCAGGGAGAGGGGTCACCCCCACATACAACCAAGTGCCCCCCCCAGCAGGCCCAGTCTGTCCTCCTCGTCCTGCAGGAAGGGAGAGGGGGTCACCCCCCCCATACAACCCAAGTCTCCCTCCCCCAGCAGGGCCAGCCCTGTCCCCTTTGTCCACCCAGCGGCCTGTGGGAGGGGAGGGAGGTCCCAGGTACAACCCCCCCACACCTCTCCTCACCTTCCTCCCCCCTGCCACATTCCCCCTCCCCCAGTTATTAATCAGGAGATTAATAATCTCGTCCTGCCTCCCTCCCCCAGCCCCCACCCCGTTTCCTGTTGAGTCTCCGGGCCGGCTGGCATCTCCCAGGCTGCTCTTCCTCACGGTGGTCCCCCGTGAGGAAGTGGGGCCCGGGCTGCAGCAGAGGCAGCCAGGGCTGAAGGTCCCCAGGAGGGAAGGGACGGGCGGGGGGGGGGGGAGAAGAGGAGGCTGGTGTGAGCCCCACTCTGACCTCTACTCACCCCCTTGCAGAGTGGGGTGTTCCCCCCCAAAGGACCCGCTCTTCAAATGTCATGTGACCCCAGGACCCACAGTTCTGTGCAGACACCCACCCAGATGCTCACCATGGCTGCAGCTCCTGGGCCAGCTGGACATGTGTGTGTGTGTGTGTGTGTGTGTGTGTGTGTACACACGTGCACATCTACCAGTGCTGAAGCCTGAACTGAGGGCTCGGACTTCGTCCCTTAGCTTTGTCGTTCAAGGCTCCACAAGAAGAGAGCAGCCTTCATTAGATAAGAGATGCCATCTCAGTCCAGCGCCCTGTCGATTGCCTGTAACTCCAGCTACTCGGGAGGTTGAGGTCTGAGGATCCCAGTTCAAAGCCAGCCCTGGTGGGAAAGTCTGTAAGACTCTTTTTATTTTTTTTTGTGGTGCCAGTCCTGGGGACTGAACTCAGAGCCTGGGCATTGTTCCTGAGTGTCTTTGCCTCAAGGCTAACGCTCTACCACTTGAGCCACAGCTAGCTTTTTTTTTTTTTTTGAGATAACAGTCTCTTGAAGGGGCTGGGAAGGTGGCTCAGTGGTAGAGCGCTTGCCTTGCATGCATGAGGCCCTGGGTTCGATTCCTCAGCACCACATAAACAGAAAAAAGCCAGAAGTGGCGCTGTGGCTCAAGTGGTAGAGCGCTAGCCTTGAGCTGAAGAGCTGAGGGATGGTGCCCAGGCCCAGAGTTCAGGCCCCACGACTGAGGGAGAAAAAAAGTCTCACAGGTTTTCCTGTCTGGGCTGGCTTCAAACTGTTGATCCTCAGCTCTTAGCCTCCTGAGTAGTTGGGATTACAGGCGTGAGCCACCATGCCCGTCCTCATGATATTTCTTCCTCAGTGAGTGGGACATGTTCCCACTGTGGGGCAGCCAACACTGGGGGAGTGGTGGGAAGGGAGAGCCAGAGGACTTTTCAGTCCCAGCCCAGAGAGGGCTGGTGATCTGCCTGGGGTTGCACAGCCAGGAAGCAGGGTAGACAGGACAGCCTCTCCCACAGGGGAACGCAGAGTCCTTCTTGCAGAGACCGGCTGGGGACGGGAGGGGCGGGAGTCACAGGCGCTGACCTTGTTCTTGTGTCCAGGACCCTCATCCGACCCACATACAGGACGTCCTACCGCACGGTCACTGCGCTGGAGTGGCGATGCTGCCCCGGGTTTACGGGGGTCAACTGCGAGGAGGGTGAGTGTGCCAGGCGTGGGGTTTGTCTCTGTCCTGCCCAGCTCCTGCCATATTGCTCTGTGACTGGAAATTCCTTTGCCCACCCACCTCTGACTGGAATGCTGGAGGCTGTGGGCAGCCCTGCCCAGGGCCTGGGCGTGGCTTCCAGCTTGCCTGGGGCGGTGAGTGGAGGGATGGAGGAGTAGCCCTGAGCTGGGGCTGCAGTCATCGGTTAGCTGAGCTCTGAGCAAATGCAGATGTGGCCATTCATCTGGAGCCCACGGAACCACCCGGCACCATGAAGGTGGATGTCGGCGGAGGCCACCGGGGCTGGGCCCTGTCCCACCCACGACCAGGGCTGAGGAGCAGGGTGCAGCCATCGGGGCTCCAGCTTTGTTGTTGTTTGGGGCGGTACTGAGGCTTGAACTCATGGCCTGGCCGCTGCCCCTTACTTTTTCCGCTCAAGGCTGGTGCTCTACCCTTTTTTATTTTTATTTATTTTTTTTAGTACTTCATTGGAGAGATAGAGTCTTAGGACTTTCTTGCCAGGCTGGCTTTGAACTGTGATCCCCAGATCTCAGCCTCCTGAGTAGCTAGGACTATGGGCCTGAGTCACCAGTGCCCAGCTTTTAGCTTATTTTATATCGGAGGACATGTATGTTTTACTTACATATATATGTGTGTATATATATATATGCTTCTAAGTCTTTCTCTTTCATTCAATGTCTAGATCACCTTGGAGATTATTTACGTTGATACTTTTCACTTGGGTCACAGTTCCGTCTTCCCTCCTTCCCTCCTCTCTTTCTTCCTCTTTTTTCTCCTCTTCCTTCTTCCTGTCTCTCCCTCACTCTCTCTCAGCTCTGAGGGACATGTAAAAGCAATTCTGTTTTCCCGTGTTCTAGGAAGCCGTGAGATTTCTGGTGTTTGCAAACTAAGCTTGTACGCCTGATTAGGATGGGCCTGTAAATCCCTCGGCCTGGGTTGCTGGGTTTGCTCCTAAAGCGTAGTTGGACTTGTGGTTTCGCAGGTGAGAGCTAGGTGTTAATTTGGAAAGAATTGAGCCTTAACCTGTCTCCTCAAAGGAAGGAAGGAAGGGAGGGAGGGAGGGAGACTTGCAGACTCAATTACTAGGAGAGACCTTTGACTGAGATTATTATTATTATTGTTTTGTTTGTTTCCAGCTGGAAACGGACCCCCTGGGCCCCCACGTGGGCCAGGCCAGGCCCAGGGTGAGGGGGCGTGGCCAGGGCATCCAGGCACAGGCCTGATTGATGTGCAGCCAGCGCCAGGCTGACCTTTCCTCCTCCCAGTCTGTGTCTGGCGGAAGGCATAGGCCCCAGAGACTCCACCTAGGAGGAGGCCGCGCCGCCTGCTGCTCTGCAGAGCATTTAGGAACACGATGGCCATGTTTGTGACTGGGGCCAGCCATGGTAGTCATTAAAGCTGGGGACGGCACATGTTCACATGAGCCAAGGACTGGTTTCTGGACACCACGCTGGATGCTGCATCCCAGAGGTGGCAAAGGAAGCTCAGGGGACCCTGGGCGCATGGGAAGGGAAAGTCACCTCGTGCTATGAAGGCCTGCCTGCCAACTTCCTTCCTTCCTTCCTTCCTTCCTTCCTTCCTTCCTTCCTTCCTTCCTTCCTTCCTTCCTTCCTTCCTCCCTCCCTCCCTCCCTCCCCCTTCCTTTTCTCTCTCTTTTTTTCTCTCTCTTTCCCTCTTTCTTCTTTCTTTTTTTTGCACCAGTCTTGGGGCTTGAACTCAGGGCCTAGGCACTGTCCCTGAGCCTTGTGCTCAAGGCTGGCACTCTACACACTTGAACCACAGCACCATGTCTGGCCTTTTATTGGTTAACTGGAGATAAAGACTCCTATGAAGGCTGGGAATGTGGCTCAGTGGTAGAGTGTTTGCCTAGCATGCATGAAGCCCTGGGTTCAATTCCTCATCACCCCACACAGAAAAAGACAGAAGTAAGTGTTGTAGCTCAAGTGGTCAAGTGCTAGCCTTGAGCAAAAGAAGCTCAGGGACAGTGCCCAGGCCCTGAGTCCAAGCCTCAGGACTGGGGGGAAAATAGACTCCCATGGACTTTGCTGTTTGAGCTGGCTTTGAACTGTGATCTGCTCGGGAGCTCAGCCTCCTGAGTAGCTAGGATTACAGGCTGAGCTACCCTGTCCAGTTTAAGGGACATTCTTTTAGGCGAGAAAATCAGTGCAGTTGAGATTTCTTCTGATGTCGCTACCTCCTTCTGGCATCCGTTCTCTGATGTCTGGTAAGTCAACGCAATTCTGACATCAGGACCCAGAGTTAGGGCAATCGACTCGCTTTTTCCTAGCTGAGATGCCAGCTACCAATGGGACACCCGCTTCTGCCCGGCTGCTCCTGGGATTTCTTGTTTGATATGGTATTTTCTTTTTTTTGTTGTTGTTTTTTTTTTTTTTGCCGGTCATGGGGCCTGAACTCTGGGTCTGGGCACTGTCCCTCAGCTCTTCAGCTCAAGGCTAGTGCTCTACCACTTGAGCCACAGCGCCACTTCCGGCTTTTTCTGTTTATGTGGTGCTGAGGAATCGAACCCAGGGCCTCATGCATGCGAGGCAAGTGCTCTACCACTGAGCCACCTTCCCAGCCTAGAGGAGTTTTCAAGCAAACAAGAGACTATAGAGTCCAGGCTGCCCTTGAACTCCCGACCCATGGAGCCTCCTAGTGCTGGGATCAGAGCAGGTCCTCACCAGCCATTGGATCTGAGTGGGGAAGAGAAGAAGGGGCATTGGGGAGCAGCAGTGTGGAAATCAGTATTTCACTGCCTGCTTTCCAAGGTGGCGCTCAAGGATGGGGGACCGGGAGGGGTCGAGGTGTATCTTCCTTCTGCTGAGCCATGCTCCCCCGCTTCTGTTTTTGGCGGTTCTGGGATTTGAACTCAGGGCCATCTGCTGATGACACCTCCATGCTCTCTTCCTCAGGCTGTTTTTAGTCAGCATCTTGGTTTTGCCTAGGCCTGCCTAGGACTGCTGTTTTCCTTGTACACTTCCCATCCTAGCTGGAGTGGCAGGAACATTGTCACCGCACCCACCTTTGGGTTGGGATGGGGGTCTTGCAACGTTTTCCCTGGGCGGGTTCAAACCCAGATCGTCAGATCGCAGCCTCCTTCTGAGTAGCTGGGATGACAGATGTGAGGCGCAGCACCTGGCTCACAATCCTGCCACAGTGGCGCCCTTTGTCAGCATCCATCTTGGTCTCTCGAGCAAACACAACCCTTCAGCCGGGTTTCAGGAGAGTGGGCAGGTACGTGTGCACCTGCCACGCATAGGGCCAGCGCCCTGGGCCAGGCTCACAGCGCAGGGCTGTGGGCTGGTGGGGGCTTCTGCCATCCCAGGGGCGAAATGAAACTCTTGATTTGTAGAGCTAATGGAAGAAAGTGTTTTAATTTGACTAAGAAGCAATTAAACACCCCGTAAAAACCTGGTGTACGGGCCACAGCGGTGAGACTCTGGCATCGTGCTGTGTTTGCCAGAGCTCCAGGCCTCTGCCCAATGTCAGGTGACCTGCCACAACGGGACTGAAGGAGCAAAAACGAGACACAGAGCCCATCCTGAGCAGTGCCCTCTCCCACTCAGCTCGCTCTCTCTTTTGTTGGTCGTGGGGCTTGAACTCTGGGCTGGGGCGCTGTTCCTGAGCTCTTCAGCTCAAGGCGAGCACGCTACTGCTTGAGCCACAGCGTCACATCCGGTTTCTGGTGGTTAATTGGAGATAAAAGTCTCATGAACTTTCCTGCCTGGGCTGGCTTTGAACTGCGATCCTCAGATCTCAGCCTTCTGAGTTGCTGGGATTACAGGCGTGAGCTCCTGGTGCCCAGTTTCTCTCATCTCTGTTTCTGTCTCCCTGTCTCTGTGTCTGTCTGTCTGTCTCTGTGTCTGTCTGTCTGTCTGTCTCTCTCATATTGGGGGCACACCCATGCCTGCTTCACCAGGAGCCTGGCCAGGAAGAGGCACAGGGCAGCGGCTCTTCGTTGGAAACAGAATGGATTGTTCTAGAATGAATGGTGCTGTGAGCAGATGCCCAGGGCCCGGCTGTGAGGATGGGAAGGAGGAGGGCTAGGGTGGGCTCAGACCTGTGCCTTGAGGCTGGTCCGATGGTCCCCCAGCTCTCCCACTCCTCCACAGATCTGACACCCCCCATTCACCCCCTAGAAGAACCCAGCTGACATGGTACCCACTCCCCCATCTTGTACCCCCGGAGGCTTCAGAGGGGGTGGGGGCCCCAGGTAGCTCTGCGGAGAGGGGTGGGGGCCATGGCGGCAGCTGTGGGACAGGCTGGGGCGTATGTATGGAATTCCTGGGGGGGCACGCAGTTGCTTTAGATTAGCACACACATCCACGTTAGCGCCTAACATCTGTTGTTAATCCTGGCCAGGCCTGCAGCCCTCGCAGCCTGCCCCCCACGGGCCGCCTCAAGGGGTGATCTTTACAACCCACCCCATTTCCTCCCGCCTAGCCACCCAGCCCCGGATGGAGGCCCGGACATTAGTGTGAGCTGTTTGGGGACTGGACTCTGGGTGACTGGTTGTGAGGCCTGCGGGCAGGTCTCCAGGTACCTGGGGACCCCTGGTCAGTAGATGGCACCGAGACCCTGGGCCCAGCTGGGGGGTGGGGGAGGGCAGCGCTGACAGCCCCAGATGCAGGGCGTTTGGGGAGGCCTGGTGGAGGCTGGGGTAGGTGGGGCTGAATTCCAGGGGGGAAAGACTTGGGCAGGGTGAGGGAGGGGGCATGGGAAAGGACACAGATGCTCTCCAATCCAGGGATAGTGTGTATGAGAGGCCTGAGATTTGAACTCTGGGCCTGGGATGCTGTCCCTGAGCTTTTGTGCTCAAGGCTAGCACTCTGCCACTTGAGCCACAGCTCCATTTCCAGCTTTTCTTTTGGCTGGTTCATCAACGATCCGAGTCTCACACGCTTTCCTTCCCAGGCTGGCTTTGAATCCTGATCCTCAAATCTCAGCCTTCTGAGTAGCTAGGACAACAGACA